TCGCGGCCGTAATACGGTGCCTGTTCAATACGCCGAGAACGTAGCCAGCCTGCTCCCCTGTGGTTTGAACAGACCTGTCGTTCACTGACGGCCCAACGGGCGGGCGGCGGGCGGCGGGCAGACAGCGGTCCAAAGTGGCCCGTCCGCCCGTCTTTTGTCTCGCCGGAGAGGGACGGTCGGTATCGGACCAGGTGGCGACCGGCGACCGGCGGCATCCAGCCGACATCGGCCCTTCGCCGGGTGTTGGGCGGAGCGGCGCCGGTCCAGCCGATACCACGTGATCCCGCAGAGGGCCGTGGGGTGCGTATTATTTCGGCCAGGGTTCATAATGTCCAGGGCATGATGTGTCCAGTGCTCGAAATGGCCAGTGCCTTGAATTGGCCAGTGTTCATATTGTCCAGGGATTACATGGTCCAAATGTGGCCAACTGGCTGCAGATAGGGTAAATTCAAAGAGGCCAGGGTTCATAATGTCCAGGGCACGATGTGTCCAGTGTTCGAAATGGCCAGGGTTCATAATGTCCAGGGCACGATATGTCCAGTGTTCAAAATGGCCAGTGCCTTGAATGGGCTAGAGTTCATAGTGTCCAGGGATTACATAGTCCACCCAACCCAACCAAACCTAACCTATCCTAACCTAACCTAAAATAACCTAACCTAACCTAACCTAACCTAACCTAACCTAACCTAACCTAACCAGTGTTTCATTTTTCAGCCTTTTTGGTGGCAAATCACACCTAATGGGAAAATATTTTCATCTCTAAAATATGAATGACCAACTTTACTTCATCTCTGAAAAGAGTTTCATGTATTCCCAACAGCCAGTTCACTTGTCACTTGACAGTTGATGCACCCACATCCTTTTGTTCCACACCCTGTCAAGATCCTGACATGAAATCCTGGTTTATCAGTTAGCATAAAAATTGGCATTAAACCATTTTGCAAAAATACTGCAGTTATTTACTTTCTTTTTTTTTCATCCTAAGATTTTTTTTTCTTCATCGGCACACCCAACCAATATCCAATTTTAGAACACTGAACCTAACCTAACCTAACCTAACCTAACCTAACCTAACCTAACCTAACCTAAGGTAATGATGTTTGCCTACCGGGGATAAGGAAATAATTTCTCGCATGAATAGATTGCAAGCAATAGTAAATCAAATATTTTTAGGTTAAGTGGTTATGCATCAGGCTTCAGGCCTTCGGCCTGAAGCCAGATACATAACCACTTAACCTAAAAATATTTGATTTACTATTGCCTGTAATCTCTCCGAAGGCATTGCCTTCGGCACTGCACTGCTTCGCATTGAGCTGGTTCCGTGTTTTTTACATAATGACGTCACTTTCAGTGACTATGTAGTCCCTGAACACTATGAACTCTGGCCCATTCAAGGCACTGGCCATTTTGAACACTGGACACATCGTGCCCTGGACATTATGAACTCTGGCCATTTTGAACACTGGACACATCGTGCCCTGGACATTATGAACCCTGGCCATTTCGAACACTGGACACATCGTGCCCTGGACATTATGAACCCTGGCCTCTTTGAATATACCCTATCTGCAGCCAGTTGGCCGCATTTGGACCATGCAATCCCTGGACATTATGAACTCTGGCCCATTTAAGGCACTGGCCATTTCGACACTGGGAATAACGTACCCTGGACATTATGAACCCTGGCCAGAATGAATGCTCCCCGGGCCGTGAGACGAGTCACGTGACGACCAACGGCGGAGATCAGTCACGTGATGACGGTCACGTGATGTCCCCGCTGAGATCGAGATGGATTGAGAAGGGACGGAGAACAGAGCCCGGGAAGAGCAGGGAAGACAAAGCTAACAGTCAGACCTCAATCAACGCTACCGGCCATCCGCTAACGATCTAACGCACTTATAGCGGCACCAAATGACCTCTCTGGTATGCCGAGTGGCTGACCCTCCCTTTATCCCGACACCATTCGCTATGCCCCCGCCGACCGGGCAGAGTAATCTCAGCACTCGCAGTTAATCAAGTGGCTCTGATCCCTGCCTACTGTGGGGAGAGGTCGCCATTTCGGTACCCTCGTTCCCCTGCCATCCAGTCCGTCTGCGGGGTGGAGGGGACGTGTCTGGTACATAGGGGAGAGGGGGCGAGAGGAGGGATGTGAGGGAGCGGCGGGGGCGGGGCGGAACGGACCACGTGTGGCCACGGTCCGGCGGAGGGAGACTGGTCAGCCTCCCACCATCCCTGCCCTCTGCCTGATCACCCATCCCTCTACCTGGCTGATCACCTATTATTCTACCCGCCCGATTACCCAGTGGCGAATGCTCGCACCCGGCGGGACGGCCGAGCGGTCGAGCGGGACAGACACAAACATCCCTGAGACCGGGGAGACGGACCGGGGCGGACCGACAGACTGAGAACCCCACCGGCCATCTGATATCGTGGTGCTGGAGCCCAGCAGACCGTCACGGGCGTCAGGAGTGTCACACCCCGTGACACAGAGCGTCACGGCGCGTCACGCGGCGGCTCCGGTGGCGCGCCGGAAGGTGTCACTTCCTGCGGGGCGCGCGGGAACGCGGCGACCTTGCGGGGTCTCCCCGCGACTGGCAGCCTGCCAGCGGCGCGCGGACAGAGCACAGACACAGAACGGGCCGAGTCCGGTTAGAGGAGAGGGCGGCAGTCGCCCATCGTCGCCGGGTCGCTCCGACATACCTGTATGGCAGTGATGGAGGAGCGGGGAGCCGGGAGCAGGAGCTTCCTGGCGCTGGGATGAACAGTTGAACACGTCTGGCAGTGTTGGTTTCCGCTCACTCACTCACACGCACTCACACGCACACACGCGCTGGCGGTCGTGCCGGCTGCGGGCTCACACGCTGGCACGCTCGGAGGGCGGCTGCGGGCCGACTGGCGGCCAGCTTTGTTCGGGGACCGCCCGCCCGCCGTACGCCGGCCGGCCGGGCGAGTCCACCGCGCCACGCACCCGGGGGAGGCCGCTACCGCCGCCGCACGCGCCCGGCGCCGGCCGATCTCAGGGGAAGGACGCCCGGAGCCGCCGGCGCCGCCGGCAGAGGTGCCCTGTCGACAGCCTGCCGGCCGCCCTCGCTGAGTCAACCGCCGACCGGGCCAAAAATACCCGGCCGTAGCCGAGCTCGCGGCCGCCCGCCGTATTTATAGTACGGCCGATAGTAGCCGAGCAGCGACAGTTTCCGCAGTTGGTGATTCGCCCTCGCCTGCTTCCGAGAGCGAGCTCCTGTCTCTGGGCAGAGAGGACAAATTTAACCGTACGCAGCTAGCGCGGGACAGCAAACAATGCACCCAAGCGATGGAGGCAAACTTCAGGAAGGGCTAAATTTAAAGAGCAGCCTGAGAATAAGCATGCCCTTAAGCAAAAGTTTCTCAGTTGCAGTGCGCAATGTTGCATGTCAATAAGCCGTGGGTTCTGAAATAGCCGCAGCCCGCGGCCTGGAGAAGCTGCTCCGCCGGGGATGGGGAGGGGGTGCGGGGCAGGTCAATGATCGACCGTTCGGCGCGGCCCCAAGCAGCACCCGCATACCGAGCTGGCGGCACTCCCCGACCCCGGCCAACACGCCGACGCCCGATAGTCAATAAGTGGCCCGCTGCGGCCGGCGGCGGCCGCCGGGAACGGTACTGCCATCTACCGGCGCGGGGAGTAACTGCAAGTTCCATAGTAGCCCAGGTGGCAGAGCGACAGTATACGTGGGGGAGACGGACTGTAAACAAGCAGGACGCGAGCGAGGCCAGCACTGAGCACGTAAAACGATAGGGCGGGGAACGCACAGGACAATGACGGCCAGGGCTGCGGAGTCGAAGTCGGAGTCGGAGTCGGTCGGAGTCGACAGTTGTGACCGGAGTCGGAGTCGGAGTCGGAGTCGATTTTAGAAACCCGAGCCGGAGTCGGAGTCGGAGTCACCGAAAATCTGTCGACTCCTCAGCCCTGCTAGGTCTGCAGAGTCGGAGTCGGGAGTTGGAGTCGGTCGTAGTCGACAATTCTGCCCGGAGTCGGAGTCGGAGCTGGTTTTTGAAAGCCGGAGTCGGAGTCGGAGTCGGAGTCGCCGAAAATACATCGACTCCGCAGCCCTGAATTGACGGCGGTAATTTGAACCAAAGAACATACCAGTTAAGTGTTCCCTGACAATGCCAGCTTGGAAAAGAACAGATAATCTTCAAATCCGTATGGGCACAAAGGGCTACGATATAGCCGAGGACTGATAAGAAAAACATGTTTTACGATTAGGAGAACGTCGGAGAATGGCGGCATCGGGTGCGGCCGCTTTTCTCAGAACAGCTTATCTTACATAAAAGTGCCTACTTATCGTTAGTTCTAATGGACGGTAACACACCTAATCCGCGTAACATAACTAAGTAACTCAGTAATCTCGCCGAATAAAGGCCGACTGATTCGCACACCTGTCTAGCTCATCAAGCTATCTCTCGCCGTTAGATAGATCACCAAATGCGCTCAGATCCTGCGAGAAAGTGCCGTCGCGATCGGGCTCCACTGGTATCTGATCTCTGCTCGAACATTTGGCCTCCACCCGCAATCCCACTAATGAGGATTATCCCCGCCGTGTAGTGCGCACGCAGCTTTCGTAAGTGACGCAGTTCGCCACTCTGCGTTAGCGGTGGGGAAATCTGGCCAGGACAGGACAATCCACGCACAGATTATCCTGACAGGTACACGAGCTTGCCGGGCAGGGCAGCACGGGTGCATTGGGTCCGTCGTGGTCTGCAGATTCTGCCGCGATAACGCAACGACGCGTCTTGCGGTACGTAAAATTGACAAAATTCCAACATCAATGATCATGCATTGCATATCACACATAATCAAAAAAGATAGCAGCTGAATACCCGGTGTCATTTGCCTGTACCAGACCTCAAGTCTCAACCGGATGACCTTCATCCATCCAATATCTTTGTATGAGCGACCTAACCATCAGAATTGTGCATCGCCGCCGATCCCCAGCAGCCGGGGAGCATGTTCCGGTACTCACCACTTGTAGGCGTTGAAGTGGAACAGCACCAGGCCGTACCCGTACAGGAACGGGGCGTCCTTCCAGTGGGTCGGGTTCAGCTTCTTGTACTTCTGGTAGGCAGACAGCGCTGCACAGAACCGGAGCAGCGTTAAAACAGGGACGAACAAACGACATCTTAGCATACGACAACGACGGAAAAATTGCATGAATCGATGATAATACAGACAGGTTACCTAGGTGACCGAACGCTTGCAGCTTCCGTCCAAAACAGATGAGCAACTTTAGCTACACATATCTACGACTAGTGGCGTAAAAGTCATGAACGCTTCGGAGACGTCTCGGAACCGATAGGTCAAGTCCACAAGAGTTTCTGCTCACACCACTGACCTGTTTCGAGACCCCCAGCGTCCTCTATAGCTCTCACCTTTGTCGTAGTCCTCTAGCAGCAGCTGAAAGTGTCCCAGTTTGCAGTAGGTGCGCGGGTCGATGTTGATCTCGCGGGCGGGCGGCTCGTCCTCTCCGTCCGCTGCCGTACCTACTCCGCCGCCCGGGCCGCTGGTATCCATCGGCTCCTGTTTGATGTCCTCCAGTTTGACAGGCGGCTCGGAGGGCGGCGCCGGTGTCTCCCCGGGCTCCGGTTTGGCACCGGTCGGAGGACTGACGGCCAGGCCGGACAGCTTATCGGCCACGGAGGAGGCGCCGCCACCAGAGGTGCCCGCCGCGGAGGACGGCGGCTTGAGGTCGCCGCCGCCGCCATCCGACTGGCGGTCGGCACGCGCGTGGTTCTTCTCGCGCTGCTTCTGGGCCTGGATCAGCACCTGCTCCAGATTACGGATGGCCTGAGGGGCGACAGGAGGTCAGTTAAATAGCTGCCTGGTGATGTTGGAGCCACAGAAGAAGTGGGGCTTCCACTCCCTGGTGGCATGTACTGAAAGTTGAAACTGACTGTCCAATGGGCATTCAACTACCTGACTGTTACTGAATAACAAATGACAACATATGCCAAAGCTTAGAGAGGACATCATTGATGCTCAATGTTTTAAAACTCATCTGGCTGAAACACAGAATATATAAATCTCACCTTTTGTACAACCAGCTTCTTTCCTGCATTTTCTGGGTCATTCAGCTTCAGAAAGCCAAATTGTTGACTGTAAATAAAATGATAGTTGTCAAAAGTTGCAAACAAGAAGGGCATAATCCAAAGAAATATGAAGTACAGGATAAATAGGTAGTGAGGAAAAATCGATTGGACAGCATGCCACTGTCAGGTGGCAGAAAAGATAGCAGCACCATTCCCTTATCAAAATGATACTAATTACCATTAATAACCAAACTTCTGATTTAATACTAGCATGTCAAATGCTGACTGTATGTTGTACCTGTCCAGCTCAGACAGAGCCTGCAGCTCCAGAGCTGTCAGAGAAACATCATCACCAGGTTCTGCCATGGTGAGAGGCCAGCTTTGTGACCTCAGTTAGGCACACAGCACTATATCCAGACCAGTCTGGGCTCACTTGCTGTCACCACACCAGTGCCAGAGCACAGCTGAAAAGAAATAAAATATGGTTAATATTACAAATACATACACTTCAACCTTGAAACTTCAACATAACAAATTGAATGTTGCGATACTACCTGCTCAATCACTATGGCAATAAACCTATACCAATACATGAAATTATCATCATTTGGCTCTTTACTCTTCCAGTCTATTTGAGGTTGCCAAATGCCAGCAGGCGGAACATGGTTTGGTAAACTCTTTGACATTTTCAACATGACTAATAATGCAGGAAAGCAGCAAAGGCAAAAGACTGGCATTTACTGAGCTCTGAACCAAAGCCAAACATAAAGCCATCTCATGACTAACAAAATTTTGGCAATATTGATATATCCACCAGCAACTTGAACTTTATATGCTGTTCAAGAGACTCATCTTCTATATTAAGGCATATATTAACCTTTAAAAAATCACAGCAGGCATTAGATGCTTTACAGAAAATTAATCCACTGCATAGTAATAAAACGTGTGTAAACACACCACTTCCACAAGATTCAATACTTTATTTACCACTGCTTTTGCACTGCTTGCAACCGGACTGCGTCGGAATTAAATATGCGTCAGGAACGTCTCGAAAACGATTAATCGAGACTCAAAGCGTTGTAAGTTTTTCTGCAATCAGCTGACTAGTCAATGATGACAAAACTTAACGAAATTTCATGAAATGAAGGTGACAAACTACAATAATAGTATTTGTTTCTGGATGAATTTTCTACATTTATAACTAAACTTTTGTTTGAAACCTAGTGAAATGGTAAAAACGTGTATTCGAAAATAATATTGTAAAATCTTATCGGATAGATTGCGAGAAACAGCTGACTCGATCCAGTGCAAGGAGTCAGAATACTTTCCCATAAAGACCACTGTATGGGTTTTCTGTTTATGGATTTGAGTGAATGAGGAAGGATTGGTGGTGGATGAAGAAGCAATTTTGTTGATATTTTTGTTTCAGAAAAGGGGCGGAGTGGCTCCTGGTTCTCAGTTCATTGTATGTATTCCGAAGCATCGCTTATGACGCTTCAAAACAACTCAGGCTAGCATTGTACTTTGTAAAAATAAACAAGAACCAATGTGGAAGCAGCTGGAGATGGGGTTTAAGGCGTTTGTAGCTTTTGCGGCAAGATTATGGGGGATTATTTGCTATGTATTCAGAAAACAGGGTCGAGCGGTAAGTGCTTCTATGTATTTTGTTTTCATGCATCCTGTTTGTTGTGGGTTTTTTAGGTAAATACTTAGATTGTGTGCACGCTGGCTTGAAAGTTTTAATAGCTTGACTGTTTTGGTGTTGGTACTGATGTTGTATATTGTGGATGGAGCTTATCAGTTGTTTATGAGTTAAACACATTATCTTTTGGGCTAAGATGTGATCAGGAAATCGTGTGTTGTTTAAGAAGCAACAAGACTCTTTGCCCTATATGTCGATGCATTAAGCATTTTGGTGCCTCCAATGTCATTGAGATGTCTTGACAGAAACACAACATGCAAATAAGCTGAATGATTTGACTTAAGAAAAGTGTTTCCTGAGCTGGTGCGGCGCTGTTTGCTTCCGCCAACATCCAAATTTCTGTGTTTTTCTTTTGCTGCTGATATATGTCAAAGATCATCATAGTAACCCTTTTAATGTGTGGATTGTGTGCTGCCTGGTCTCATTCACCCATTTCTCTCTCCCAATTGAGTTGTTGCTGGTTATTTACATACTTGTGTGCTCAACAGATCATGCAACACCAGGCTGTCCGTTACGAAATCTGCCCACTGTCACCATTATCAAGACACAGGATCAGTAAGTAACCAGCAAAGTTATGCTAAACAACCATGCTAGTCGCTAACCATCAAAGTATCCTGTACAAACTGGCAATATGATGGTTCCATAGCAGGCTTTACTTGAGTGTCTTGACTGCAGACATGCGACCAGTTTGTCCCATCAAATTTATTGGTGATGTTATGCAGGCAGGTCAGCTAAATGGCTTCTTCCAGAATAGGCTGTTTTCAAGGCCAGTGAATTTGTTGTGTCCTAATTGTGCTGACTCACAGGTTGTGTGTGACCTGACTCCTCCATAGTTAACTCTGGGAGGTTCAGAACAGCCTAAAACTTTGCCCCAGCCTGACCTGTACCCCTCCCACAGGTCTGGTGCAGCGTAAGACGCTGGTGCTGGACCTGGACGAGACGCTGATCCACTCGTTCCACGACGGCGTGCTGCGCCAGACCGTGAAGCCGGGCACGCCGGCCGACTTTATATTTCGGGTGACCATCGACCGGCACCCTGTGCGCTTCTTCGTCCACAAGCGGCCGCACGTGGACTTCTTCCTCGAGGTGGTGAGTACGCTAAAATACATCAGCAGTGAAGGGGCGGTAGTTTGGGGAGATGTGCGACAGTTGCACTCTCAGCTGCGGTGTGTTCTGAGCAGCTAAACCGCTGCATTATTTTCCGTCGGGAAATGCTTATATTTGCTTTCTAAATGTATTATGTTAGAGCTTTTACGTGGGGGAATAGCGACATTCGTTCTATTTTGTTCTGTAGAGTTCCGTTTCAGTTTCGGAACTATTGCGTTTCAGCACGTTATCAGAGTGTCTGATTCATGTTTACACGCCAGATTACCTACCGTAACCGTATTGCGTTGATTATATCTTATCGAGGGGCAGTATACGGTCGTAATGCTCACAAAGCTGTAATGCGCATTTGCTTGGTTTCCCACCGGGATATACGATGTCAGCCCCCATTTCTAGTACACTCGTAGCGCAACGAGTTTTAACTTTTAGATGTTGATATTGGTAACCGGTGCGAGCGACTTTAGCGAGTGTCATTTGAGCGAACGTCATTTGAGCGAACCATTTTCAGCGAATGGCAATTCAGCGATTATCAAGTTCATCGATTATCAAATACAGCGATTATCAATTTTAGCGAAAGCTATGTTTCGGCGACATATATTTCGTCGACTACAATTTGAGCGACTGTCAGTACAGCGAAACATTTCATCGTCCTGTAACGGTGGATTTTTTTCTTTTGCGAGCGTATGCGTACGAATGTTTCCGGAATTTCTCATGGTTATCCGGTACTGGATGGCGGATGTCGCGCGTTCAAAGGTCAGGCATTGAGCTCCAATTTTAATGCTACATTTGTCAAAAATTCCAACGGTTCAATTTCACCCCCCCCCCCCCTAACCCACCCTGCTCTTTGTCAAAAATGGTGACCAAACGTTTGTTCAGAGATCAATATTGCTTGTGCTTTTTTTCGCGAAATTGCCCCGCTTGAAGTTGGATCAGTTCCCCATGTTGTAAAATTTGTTCTTGCCCCAAGCGCCGTACGAATTTCCAGATATTTGGGTGAGGTCCCTGAAACATAGACTGGATTCCCCTGTGCCATCTCTCTAGTTTGTTATTGGTCCTTGGCATTCCTTCCGTCGCCCTATCTCTCACGTTCCACATTTTCAATTCAAATTTTGCCCGCCTCCTTCCCCTCCCATGCACCCCTTGTTGGTCATCCGATGTACATATGTTTCTTCAAAATTCAAATGATACGTAAAGAGGTGCAATAATTTCCGAAAAGTAGCAAATGATTGACTTTCGTCGCGTTCGGTCATTCGCTGTAACTGCATCGCTCAACTGGTCTCCCACTGACCACCATATGTTCGCTCAATCTGGTTTCGCTGATTCTGGTCCTCGCTAAAGTTGATAATCGCTGTGATTGAATTCGCCGACTTGACAATCGTTGAAAAAGCCAATCGCTTAAATTGATAATCGCTGAAAATGTTTCGCTCAAATGTCGTTCGCTGAAATGACGTTCGCTCAGGTGTCGCAGAACCATTGGTAACATAGTTGATGGTTTCCTACAAAGTGTTCAGTAAAACTGTGGAATGGCACCATCTCAATTTCATATAAAGTATTTGTGGTGGGGGAGGCAGTTTTGAAGTCGTAAAATCGTTACCAGTTCGTCTGTAATTCATGCAGGTCGTTTTGCGCCCATTCTTTGCCGTTTGATGTTCCTTCACATTTTCCGGAATATTTGAAAACGTAAAGTTGTTAAATGCTTTTATGTTATACGTATCATACCGCATACTGTTGAAATTGATAAAAATCCAGAGGCTGGTAGCTGATATTGTAGGCATGTGCCATATCATGTCATTCTGTTGTGCCAGACTGGTTATGGAACCCGTTTCAGTAACTACCGTTGTTGTCAGGGGCTCTGGGTGGGGGGTCCTGGTATTTTCGGCCTCCTGAAGTGGATGGCATTCGTAGGACACATTTTCCTGCTTGAAGCTCTACGCTGCGTCAGTTTTCCTCGTGCGAGCACTTTCGCTTTGCGCGGTCCACAAATTGAAACCTGTTTCCCGACTTGCTGTCTAGTAACTGGCCTTGTTTTGATATTGCGTCTAAAGCTTTTTAAGTTTTACATTAGTTTTTATACTATCCTTTCAAGGATGTTTGTTAAGTTTATGTGTAACATAGTCTGTCATATGGCAGGGGGTGCACTCAAGCTTATAAGCCACGAATCGTGACGTGACTTGTACCAGTCAGCATTGTTTTATCGCTCTGAAAGGATGAATGGCCATAAATCGATAACGGAGGGGAACGGGTGACGCTGAATTGACCCCCAGCTTTGTGAGAGCTGTCACTCAGACCGATTGTGTTTACTACCACCGCTAGGTACCGTAAATTAGCGAGCGGCCTCGCGGGCTATTGCCGCCGCCTTTTCTGCGGACCAGATCTCGCTACGATTAGCACTCGCAGCGGAAGCTGACTTACGTCCGGTCTGTCTCGTCGATACGGCGGTTGGTGGTTCCCCGTGATAAGATAGTTATATAACACAAAATAGCAAAACAGTGTTTAAATGGACTACCACGTGCTGGCTATAGAAAGGGCTGACACCGACAATGGTCGAACATACGATTTCTGGGCAGAGCACGGTTTAATGGACACGCTTTCAGCCGACGCCGCCCACTTCAACTTATGTTGGTTTGTCGCAGTTAACCCGCGCCCTGGTGGGGTCTGTTTATAACGCGACCTGGTGGGGGGGAGCTATTTTTTGCCCCCCCCCCCCCTCGTATCTCCGAAACTACTTGACGGATCCGCAAAATTCAAACGGCGTTCGAAAGGCCTGTCAAATTTGTTGAAGGAAACCAAATTTCATTGACCTCGGGGCCACCGATGACGTCACAGGTCAGGTCAAAGATGACATGTTTCACCGTTCACGGGTCATCTAGGGAATGCGCTGTAACACCGAAGAAAACGCATTTTGTCGAGAATCAGCGATAGGGCGTCAGTTGCCTAGTAAATATGTTGCTATAAGAGGTCACTGACAATACCAGGTCAGGTCACAGGTCAGGTCACCAAGGGTCACAGGTCAGGTCACATGAACCTAACTTTAGGTATCTACTAAGGTTGTGCGATGCATGTTTTATGGCCAATTTTTCATTTCCAACTCAATGGTGTTGGTTATAATACTATCAGGTACGGCTTAGGTCACTTTCTAGTGAAGGTCAGGTCAAGGTCAGGTCAAGAAAGGTCAAATTTTAAAGATGATAGTTTTGCATGAAATGGGTATTGATTCGATGCAGCTCGTCACGGGGAGTCTAATGGTGGTCTTTGTTTTGCGCTACGGGGTCTAGAATTGCTAAAAATTGAGTTTGAAAATTTGACGTCATCAATTTTGAACAGTTTTTTCGCTATAACTTCGCCAAAAAAAGAGGTATCAATCTCAAATTTGGTATGTGGATAGAAGACGGTAAGGACTATCACATATATTCCGGTTTTTGCGAAATTCCAAACACTTTATGGATTTTTCGGCTATTATATTCAAAAAAAAAAAATTATTTTTGGGGGTCAAAATCCAAAAATTTCAAAAATTCGAGATAGCAGTTTTGTAGCCCTGTCAATTCTACAGCTTTTTTTGTCTTTATCGTTTTTCTGTATTTGCAAAGCTATAGGCCTGACAGCTCTTCCCACGAAACCCTTTTTTTGGGTCGAAAACGGCAGAACATGACGTCACTCTGACGTCATTTCCGGCCAACCTATCATAGCTTTTGGAAAAAAAAAAATTTGGTCACAATGTGTAAAATTGATGTCCGAGAGGGTTCTGAAAGTTTGGTGACGATCGGCGCAGCGGTTCTGGAGATATATATCGAAAAGTCTGGAGGGGGGCAAAAAATAGCCCCCCTCCCCCCCCCCCCCCACCAGGGCGCGGGTTAAGTAGTGGGCTTGCGAGATGACTTAGTGCTGCTAGTAATAATGAAATATTAAATGTGGCTTGCGCCAGTATACGGTGGTTTGTGTGGAGCCAAATACCGTTTAAGTTTGCTGTCCTGTGGACTTTTATGGGTCAGGTATGGTTGTCCTTGCAGCACTATTTTTGAGATTGATTTAGCTCGAATCTGTGAATGGACGGAGCTAGAGCCCATGATAAGGAGAGCTTGTTGGGCAGCCCCCCCCCCCCCCCCATATGGTTAACTTGTCGATTCTGGGTTGAATCGGGATAATTTTTATTCAAAAGTTAAGCGAGCCCATCAAAGTCGGACATGGTCCGTCCCGCTTAACTGACTTTAGCTGGCCGCAGCTGGTGCCAGCCCTGCTAGGAGTTTCATTTATCGAGCGACGCAGCAACTCGAAGTCGAACTCTCATCACCGGAACAGATTTGCTACCAACTGAGGCATGGGATGAACGACCTTGGCTGAAAGTTGGCGATATCGGGTCGAGTCCGGGTGCTATAAAATGCCGACCTCACTTGCTGTTGGCCGATAGCTGATAGTTATAGTCTGTGCGCTCGGCTCGTCAATCAGAGACGTAATACGATGTTCACACGAGTTTAATTGATCGAATTTCACTTACTAAATAACCTCCAGGCGCGAGCCACCGACGTTGATCGCCAACGGATTATGCGAAGTTCATGGGCTATTTTTATTGCCGTTTCGTAACTCCAACACCTTTTTTCAGATAAGCCACCGTTCTCTAACCCGCTCATTCTTCTGTCTACAAGGAGCTCTGACCCCACAACAGCGCGTGCGGCTGTGACCCTCATCTGCCCTGTTCATTCTCTCCAGTCTCCGCTCCGCAGTCCTGACGCTGTCCATCATCCCGTGCAGTTCTGATCCCCTGTTTACAAATGACCCTTGCAGCTCTGGCTCCCTGTTTTTAACTGACCCCTGCATCTATAACCCTCTCAGCTCTGGCTCCCGCAGTTTTGGCCGTCCCTCCTCTAACCGTCCCTCCTCTGACCCCCACAGCAGCTCTAACTCCCTCCCCCCCCCCCCCCCACAGACGTCGCAGTGGTACGACCTGGTGGTGTTCACTGCCAGTATGGAGATCTACGGCGCCGCCGTGGTCGAGCGACTGGACAACGGCCGCGGGATTCTGCCGCGGCGCTACTACCGACAGCACTGCACTCTAGAGTACGGCAGCTACACCAAGGACCTGTCGGCCATCTCGCCAGACATATCGGGCGTGTTCATCCTGGACAACTCGCCGGGCGCCTACCGCGCCTACCCAGGTTAGTAGAGTAGTGAAGTTATCTTCATTGGTAGGTGGGAGCGGGAGAAATGGGATGTTGACAGTGGGGAGGGTTGGAGGATGGTGGAGCGGGGTGGGCTGTAGGATAGTGGGGAGTGAGGACTGAGGAGGACTGAAGGGTGCTGGGAGTAGAGAGGGCGGGAGGGTAGTGGCCGGTGCATTGACTGTTGAACAGATATTGGCAGGTAAAGGCCGATGGATGGCAGACTGATGTCATTGGGAGGTAGAATGGATGGTTATGCGGATAAGGTGGGAGGTGGATGGTAGATGGGACGGAGGGTAAGGCGGAATAGGTGGTGATGGACAGAGAGTTAAGACCCAGCTTGGTTGGGGTGTCGGTGGACAGAGTCTAGGACGGTGTTGGGGTACCGGTGGACGGTGGATGAAAATCGATAGACGCTGGATGATATGAGAGGTGGGGCGGCTGGAGCTGTAATCTATCGATCCTGCCTTATCGGACGTCCGACTAGGCTGGACGGAGCCGGCAGGGGTTCCCTGTACCAGTGTTATTTTTATCCGAGGCTGACGTGTGAGAGAAACCTTGATTACTGTGCAGGCAAGGCAAAACTTACGTACATTGATTTGTTTTCCCTCCACCTTATGCCCCTAGTTTTGGTGTAGCCATGTCCAGTTTCCAAAGTATCTATGTTTGCTCTTTCATTTTATTCATGTATCTATATGAGCCATTGCAATGTATTTCATTCTGCATTAGTCCACATATTTGACTCTGGAGCCGGTCCATCCCTCACACTGCCTCCCTCGCTCCGCCCGCAGATAACGCGATTCCGATCAAGTCGTGGTTCAGTGACCCGACCGACACGTGTCTGCTGAGCCTGCTGCCCGTGCTGGACGCGCTGCGGTTCTGCGCCGACGTGCGCAGCGTGCTGTCACGAAACATGCATCTAAACAGGACCTGGTAGTCAGGCGCCCGGTCCGCCATCAGGTGAGGCTAATCAGGAGCGAGTACCTACCCAAACAGGACCTGGTAGTCAGGCGCCCGGTCTGCCATCAGGTGAGGCTAATCAGGAGCGAGTAGTTATCTAAACAGGACCTGGTAGTCAGGCGCCCGGTCAGCCATCAGATGAGACCCATACATGATCCCAATAGTCATTATCCCAATAGGTAGATGCGGGCTTTGATTCAACCAGGACCGGCATTGCCCAAACAGAACCTGGCATTGTCCAAATAGGAATTAGGCACCTAACATCACCTGAATCCCAATCGTTAAGCAGCAGTAGGTTATGGGGCTTCCAGCAAAGGCAGTTTTTTAGCGTCAGTTAATCACGGCCACGGAATTTCGCTGTTAATGCTGACGGCGAGGGCGTATATTGTATGCTCGCCGGAAAAAAGGCCCACGACCTCGCGTGTTAAATTGGTCTCTGGCCTGTTGGCTGCAATGTTCAGCCTCTGGAATTCCGGAAAGTGTTCTGCTGCATCTTAGCGTACTTGTAGTGCATTGCGCAAGTTTGTCCATTATTTCTTGCAGATTTGGTAGACCGCAATGAAGTTTGCTTATCTTACTTGCTATTTGCTAATGTTTTCTTCCAGCTTTCCAACACGTCGTTTTCCGGACTGCCGTGTTACACTAACGCTTCTTTTTCTCTTTTGTCTGTTTGCAGTTATCGTCTGTAGATATCAAATCTGATATTCTCCCTCTCATTGTTGGGCGGTACCTCGCCGGGCGACGGTCGGCGCGGCGTGCTCCGCTGTCTGTCACCCACGCGGGACCCCGGCGAGTCCGGACTGAGGCCGGAGGGTCCGGACTGCGCCCGGAGGGACGGCGCGGTGCTCCATGACGGCAGTCCGGTCCGGTCCGGTCCGGTCCGGTACCGGACGGTCCGCGGTGGTCCGGGGGCGGCGGCACCCGCCCCAACCACCCAGCTCAGCCCCCGGCCACCCCCGTACCTGATTCGGTTAGACCCGGCGGGGCCGCCGCCGCCGGACCGACGCGCGCGCGAGCGAGCGCTCCGTTTTACCGTCTGACGAAGGACGTGTTTGTTTCGACGTATTTTTGTGAGCTGGTTGTTGCGGGCGGGTGTGACGCCCGGTGAGATGGACCGTGTCGGCGCCGGGTGGCCCTCGGCTGGCTGTGGCCGGCCGGTGAGAGCGATGTGAAAGATGTGAGAGGGGACGCTGCACGGTGCCCCGCCGTGATGTGACGACTGTGAGAGTCAGGTGTGACGCGATGTGAGTCGGGTGAGATGTGATGTGAGATCAGAGGTCGCTCGATGTGCTGCGTCTCCACTGCCGACTGCGGCACGCCTGTGTGAGAGAGCGCGGTCGCGGCAGCGGCGGCGATTGTGTGATACCCGGCCGGGCGTGCAGAGCCACCTGTCGGCCGGTGCTGTAACTGTGAGTGCCGCCGCTCGCCGCACAGGGTACGGGCGCGCCACCTCTGCCGTCGGCCCGGGATCTCGGAGCCGTCTCATAATACTGCTCCGGGCCGGCGCGTGGAGTGAGCGTGCGGCTCCGGCTGCCGAGGAGCCCAGAGAGTGTGCGGTGGCCGGGAGCCGGCGCCGCCCAGTATTAGCTCGGCGGCGGGCGCAGGCTGCCGCTGTCCACCGCCCACCGACTCTAGCCGAGTACAACTGGTACGGTGCACCGTGTGTTCGCAATGGCCGTATATTCTGGTAGTGCGCCGCCGCGGTGCAATTATGAGATAGATGGCAAATACATAATGGCATCGCGACTGCTTTCACGGGCTTTGGCCGTTAGCCGTTCAGAGCACTTGCAGTTCGTGACTAAGGCCAGCATTTGGCCGCTTGGCGCTCTCTCAGTGGCCACGTCGCTAGCGGCCTATTCAGTTATTTTAGTGAGATTTGTGAATGACACGCCTGGTATGTAGCTTTTTGCGTCGAACGTGCAGACAGGTTGAGGTATGCTCTTATTTCTTAATCAGATGGAAAGGTGTAATTTCGCTACAGAATCCGTTCCAACTTCCAATCCGTTCCATCCATTCCATCTGTCAAAATATATCAGTGGGGTAACTTCCTTCGACTCAAGTGTGTCTTATGGACCTTTTAGGTACCTGCACTGGTCTGATAAGTATTTTTAAATTAAAATACTCTTAAAGGCAATTTCGATGTCACTAAGAAACAGCAATGAGGAATAATTTTGGGGTGCTTCACAGGGTTTTAGAATTTAGTGGTTGTATACCTTTTGGTAATGGTAGCCGATTAGAAACTGGTAAGACGTTTCCGGCGCGGAATAATTCGTAATGAAAAAAAAAAATTGTGTAATGTTGCGGTTGCTGTGGTTCCTTTTGGAGTCCTTGCCCTAACTCAAACTCTTCAACAACATTGGAGTCCTTGCGTGCGGATTGCTTGCGATTGTTTTCGAAGTCCTTTCTCCTTTCCATTCAAATTGAATTTGTTTTTCATCTAACAAAAAAAACATCGTTTCCTTGGCCTGGATTGTGGGTTGTGTGTGTCTATCGCTAGATCAAGATAAAGATCAAGACTAAGATCGTTGTTTCAGTTTGGACGCTCAGTTCAAGCAAGTTCAAGTTGGAGTTGGAGTCGCAAGTCAAAGTTTATTCTGATTCTGGCAACGTTTGAGCTGGTTGATGACCTTCCACTTATTATTAATTACGAACGCCATCTCCGAAACATCTTATAAGGTAAGTGCCTAAAGCTGACTGCACTGCTTTTTGTTAATGTTTTGGTGGTGCTGATATCAAAGGTTTGCATAGGTAGGTAATCAATTCATAATGCTGTGCAATGTGCAGTGGGTACCACAGGCTGCCTTCCATTGCCCGGCAAGGAAAAAGTGTGATTGATGCTAGGTATAACATTTTTGTTTTGGTCATTGCAGTTGAATGAACAAAATGATTGACTTCTGTATTAATAAATTGCATGTATGATGTTAGTCAAAGGCCAATACCTAACTTGAACTGAATAAATCACTATAAACTGGCACTTCATGAAGCTACAAGTAATGAATGGCACTGCTCAGGATGTCATGTGTCTCTGGGCAATGTGTGTCAACTGTCAACTTTCAACTATGATGGACAACTATGAGTGACCCCATCCATCTTGTGACCTTGTTCTGGCCTCTGGGTCAATGAGTGACCAGTGACCAATGAAAAGCTGTTAATACAGTGGTGTAATTCTACACAAGGCAGAAACCCCTACCGTCTGTCAAGTGTCACTGCTCAACACTTATTATAGAGTCTATAGTAATTAGTATGTTCATTGCTCATTGTTCAGTTGTGAACTGTTCAGTCATCAGAGAACACTCAAGATAGAAGTTTAAGTTGCAGTGAAATTGATTTGATTTGAATAATCAATACAGTCCATTGCACTTCAAAGTGTTATGTAACGTACCCAATCAGCATTACTTATTATGGTATACCAAGATGAGATGGCACTATTTACCAAAGCCAGATGCTGCTTAACCAAGAATCAATGCATTAAAATAGTGTGTATTTTTCATTATTTGCAGCCATTTGCTAGATAGCAAAGTGCAAACGACATTTGAATGCATATGTGCGTTGAAAGAAGCCTGTGAGCCTGGACTCGTTCCTGACGTGCCGCTGCGGACGGCTCGATCAGAAAGCACAGCTTCTCGTCTGGAATTATAGATGTCGCGGCGAGACTCGGTGCGACGTCGCTCGCGGCTTGTCGTATACGTAGTGGCACTTCGGATGAAAAACGCGAAACGACTGAATAACTTAAGATCTGGTGTAGCATTGAAGATTAGGCCGGGAAGAACGTCAATAACGCCAGTGGACGAACACCATAACAATCTGCAAAGTATAATGCATGTCGAGCTGCAGTTTGTTTTATTGGCATGGCATCGCCCTATTCTCTCTAGTTTGATCGTCTGTGGCTCAGGGAATTCTAAGTCATTGACACTGTTACCATGCCCAAGCTAAGTTTTTCCTACCTCGGTCTACGTTCGGTCACTCAAGCTCTTCAGCGAAGACCTTAGAGGTAGTTGTGGTGTCAAATAAATGTGTCGAGCCCTCTTTTTCGACTCTTCTTCTCAGGAGTCATCGCACCCTTTCTCCGTTGTGTGCTGCAGTTCCGGGTCGACTCAGCGACTTCCATATTGTTAGCGGGTTGTGTGTTGACTTACAGTTGCTGACGTGCTGCTAGCATCGGTACTCGGTAGATATGTAACCGAACCCACCCTGCTACGGGCGCTGCTGCCCGTGCTCCACAGACACTGGGCACCCGCAGGCTGTCCTTCAGTGGAGCGGGCAGAGCTATAGTACAGCGTCTCTCCTTTTGCCGAGGAGCTGGAGCGCACCTCTCCCGACCATCTGAAGGCGCCCGAATGGCTCGCTGAATGTGCTCCACATCCGAGCAGCGACCGTCGTTTGCCGCACCGGTAGTTAGATGGTGGCGTAACTCGTAACTCATGCAGGCTCTCAAAAGACGGCGCTAATTTGTGTCATGCATCAACTCGACAATTGTTTATTATGGGGGGTTTTGTGCTTCCTTGGTCTTTTAAAGTTGGTCGCGCTAAGCCATGATGGATGTCTTGGGTTTGATAGCGTAAGTACTCTGTACTTGGTTGTGTTGCCGGTATAGCAGGGGTATTATGGTAGCATGCATACAAGACACCAAGGTCCCCGCGTGTTCGGACTCCCGCTGTATTCAGTCTCATTGTCGGCTTGTCAGACCATTGCAAAGATTTCCGGTGACCGATATGGTTAACCGACTCACATTTGTCTTGGTTCTGTCAAGCGGGACCTGACGCACTAAACGACAGAGGCAAGGCTCCTTCCTTTGAATGCAATCAGATCCCCGACAAGATCTTAATTGGTCTGTGCCGTCCATGCCTTTGTCGGGCGCTGGACGGACGCCTGGTCTGGCACAGAGGGTCTTTTTACGAAATTGAGCCGGCTGCCTGCAATTACTGGCCATTGGCCCAGTTTGGAGCGGCGGCCGGCTGCTGCGGCGCGCTGAGATTAATCTGACGGACACACGGGTCGGGCCGAGGGACAGGGTCACGGCGCGACGGCTGGGAGGCGGCGCGGGCGGCACGCGGTGGATAGACGGTGGTGCAGAGGTCAGAGCATCGGCTGTGTCTGGATCCGGTCCGACGCTTCTCCGGGCACGGCCTGACCCGTCTCCGGGCTCGGCGCGACCCTCTCTTCAGTTCTAACTCTCTGCTGTCTTCTCAACCTGCTCTAACCGGACAAGGTCCCTTCCTTTGAATGCAATCAGATCCCCGACAAGATCTTAATCAGTCTTATCTTTAACAGCAGCGGTGGACGGTGGCTTCCGCGGAATGAGGGTGCGGCGTGGTGGGAGACCTCGGATCCATATCTTTTGTCCGCGAATACCTACTGACGTTTACAGGCGATGTGCTCGCCTGCAGGTGTAGATTGTTCTCCTGAGAGAAGAGTATGAAGTGTGACTGAGGCACCGCTGTTATGACAGTAAGGCTGCAATGTTTCCTGGGAGACAGGAACAGTGGAATGTTCTGGGCCGCCTCAGGTAGGCTGCTGGACCTCCGGACCGTCTGTCGCCCGCTAATCACTGCGATTTGAGGTGACTCACCAACCCACCACTCGGTGGTCGCTAAACGATGCCTGGGTGTTTTAGGTGGCTGTTAGTCCCGAGAAGCTGACGTTGGCCTCCACGCCAGTCCAACTGTTGCAATGGCCGGCGTTTATCAAGCCCCTATTTAGGGCGGAGATTCAGGGCTAAATGTGATGGAAGCACGGGGATCAGAGTCGCAAATTGAAGCGACCTTGCTGCTCCTTGAAGAATTATGCCGAGAGTGAAGTGAGAGTCGCTGGTACTCCAGCTTCCTGGCTGGCGTTAGTGTTCCCAGTAGTTACCCATTCCAAAAAAAAACTCGGCCATCGGATGCTTGACTACTTATTTGAATTAACCCGCGCCCCGCTGGGGCTTCTAGATTTCCACGCCCTGCTGGGGGTGTTTGAACACCCTCTCCCTTTCTAGCTCAACTCCTGGGCCACGTAGCGACAGTTGGTAGGCTGGGTCCGGAAGAGCGTCGAAAAGCATGTGAAATTACTTGGTCATTTTTAGGTCAGCTCAAAGGTCAGGTCACCAGAGGTCAACAAAGGTCAAATTTCGCGTATTTCGACAACTTTTGACAAACCGGCGAATGTCTCGGAAACGAATAGGGCTGATGAGTGATGAGTATCGCCATCAGCCCAGCCTCCCGGTCAACCATCAGCTGACGGCTGACGTCACTCGGTGCGTCCACGTCACCGCCTCTCGCCGCTGGACGCTGGACTGTTCAGCTTCCCTCCTCTCCTCCCCGGGGTCCGGTTTTCTCCAAACACTGCTGTTGATCTCCGGGTCAGGGCGCCGACCGATGCAGATGGCAGCCTCTCACCCAGAGCTGGGAGACGGTCGTTCGTTCTACTGGGATGGAGACTGACTGCCGATACAGAGACAGCCGAAAGACGGTCGCTTTTTACCGCAGAGTTATATGCAGCATAGAGACTGTCACTTGTTCTGCCGAAGCAGAAACAGCCGAGGAACGGTAAATCGCTGCAGGCTCTCGTCCTGGCTGATGCCAGTGGGAGAGACTGCTGACATGAAGAGGTGATGCTGATCTGAAGAATTAGGAGATACGATGAATGTCTGAGAAGGAAGGATCGGTCTAAAGAGTAGCTTTGATCGGGCTATAGCGCTAACTGCCGACCCTGGGATACCCGCGAGTTGCGATCCCTTCTCCGTTGAATTGCGTTGGAAACCTCCATGACAGGAAGTGGCCGGTTAATTAATGCCACCGTGTGCTAATTAAACTGCCGGTAATTAATTCTGATCGCTCCGTATGTGCGGCATGCGGTAAGTGACAGTGGGCTCCCGGCTCGGTTGCGGCAGACCCGCTGTCAATGCCTGCCATACCTGCCAATACCGACCTCGGCTGGGGACGGGTCGCTTCGCTGCCGGTGTCGGCTGGGGACGGGCCGCCCTACTGCCTGTGTCGGCTGGGGTTGGACATCTCACGGGCCACGCACAATGCGTCGTATATCTCACGGGCGGCAGGCCGGATGCCGTGCTGCCGAGAGTCGCGAGCCGTGAAAACGGGCCGACCACAGTCCGGACCGCAGCTAATCGGTGCCGACAGCCGCGGTTTTGCGCTTCGGAAACACACTACCGCACTGGATTCGGCGGGCGGGGCGTCAACGGAAAGACCATGGTGCCAAATGCTCCGATTGGTGAAACAGCAATTAGGTTTGGCCAACAGGCATTGCCTTCCTATATAAATTGTTGGTAATGCAAATTGGTTGCATTCTGTTCTACATTGCTTAATTCTTTAGAAATATAAGCAAACCTATTTTGTGCCCAAACAGCAAAACAGCAAAAGTATTCTGTCATTTCCGTTCGCGTTGATGTTTCGATATTCCGCAATCTCCGCTCTGGCTCTTTTCCCTTCAGTGTTGTTTCGCCATTCGTAGGCCGATATGATTTCCTCCGCTGGTGTATATGCCTGTGTTATCGACTTCCTTGTTCGCGAGACGCGATGCCCTAGCAGGCATCCATCCAGGTCAATGCACATTGTACAGCACAGGGTGTCGGACTCGGCAGGCTTTCTTGAGCACGTTTTTGTGTTACCTGGCCGGGCATTGACCAGTGCTGAGATGTGGTGGCGTATCGCGCCCATCGCACCGGCTTGAGCAGTGGA